AGACGCGAAGAGAAAGTGTGGTTTTTTTACCGGATGAACAAGACGCGGATACGAAGCGTTATGATCTTTTGATAAGGGGGTTAACGGGGTTAAGAGCTTAAGGCCAGTGCGCGCTATGAACAGAGAGTGAGTGTGCTGGGCGCTGGGAGTGAGAGGATGAGAAAGTGCCCGGGAACAGTGGTGATGCCTGCGATGTCCTCCGACCTCCCGGGACCGAGCCGCCGCACGCGCGTCCGCGACACGCCGCGAGAGAGCCGTAGAGAGCCGAGACGGCCGCGCGGATGCCCCCCCGATCGCCGATGCGCGCGCCGGCGTGCGCGCGAAAACGGGTAAAGTTTTTGGGCGCGTGCTGAGGTGCGCTCGACACGCTTACACTGTACCGTACTGCAATAATAACAGAGGGCGATAAACTCACGTCACATGACCGCTAGGCGGCGCCACTGCGCACTGACTGACACACTTCGACACGCACACTTCACGACGCGCGCGCGACAGAGCGCCGCCTCCGGCTCTCTGCGCGCGCCTCTCCTGCGGGCTCGCCTGCTAGCCCGAAGCAGCCTGGGCGTCGCCCTCGCTGAGCGCCGCCTCCAGGTCGCCGATGATGGTGCGCGCCGCCGCGGGGATGCGCGTGCCCGGCCCGAAGACGCTCTTCACTCCCGCCTCGTGCAGCAGGCCGTAGTCCTGCTGCGGGATGACGCCGCCGGCCACCACCATCGCCTCGCAGCCCTGCGCCGACAGCTCCTTGATGAGCGCCGGCAGGAGCGTGCGGTGGCCCGCCGCCTGCGACGAGACGCCGACCACGTGCACGTCTGCGTCGACCGCCTGCAGCGCAACCTCGGCGGGCGTCGCAAAGAGCGGGCCGACGTCGACGTCGAAGCCCAGGTCGGCAAAGGCGGAGGCGATGACGTTGGCGCCGCGGTCGTGCCCGTCCTGCCCCATCTTTGCCACCAGGATGCGTGGGCGACGCCCGTGCCGCGCCGCAAACTCCTCCGCCATCGCCACGGTCGCCTCGATCTCGCCGCCGTCGCTGCGGAAGTCGCCGAGATAGGCGCCCGAGCCGACGGTGTGCGAGGGCGTGTACCGCCCCCACTGCCGCTCGAGCGCGTCCGAGATCTCGCCCACCGTCGCGCGCGCCCGCGCCGCGTCGATTGCCAGCGCGAGGAGGTTGCCGTCGTACGTCGCGGCGGCGGCGGAGAGCGCCGCGAGCGCCTTTTGCAGCGTGGCCTCGTCGCGCTCGGCGCGCAGCCGCTTCAGCTTCGCCTCCTGCGCCGCGCGCACGTCGAGGTTGTCGATGACGCGCGGCTCGACGACGGGCTGCTCGCGGCCGGCCGCCGGCGCGTACTTGTTGATGCCGACGATGACGTCGTCGCCAGAGTCGATGCGCGCCTGCTTGCGGGTGGCGCAAACCTCGATCCGCTGCTTTGGCATGCCGGAGGCGACCGCCTTGGCCATGCCACCGAGCGCCTCCACCTCCTCGATGATGGCGCGCGCCTCCTCGACGAGCCTGTCGGTGAGCGCCTTTGGCCCGCGGGCGGCGGGGTCAGGGGGTGGGGCGGGGGGTTGGGGCTGGGGCGGGGGTTGGGGCAGGGGCGGGGGTTGGGACCGGGGCGGGTTGGGGCAGGGGCGAGGGCAGCCGGCGGAGCGTGTGACGCGGGTCGAGTCGGAGGAGGAGGCGTGGGGAGGGCCGTGTCTCCTCCATCATGTAGGAAGTGTCTAGGAAGTGTCTAGGAAGTGTCTCCTCCATCATGTAGGAAGTGTCTAGGAAGTGTCTAGGAAGTGTCTCCTCCATCATGTAGGAAGTGTCTAGGAAGTGTCTAGGAAGTGTCTCCTCCATCATGTAGGAAGTGTCTAGGAAGTGTCTAGGAAGTGTCTCCTCCATCATGTAGGAAGTGTCTAGGAAGTGTCTAGGAAGTGTCTCCTCCATCATGTAGGAGCCGCCCCAAGGGTCGACCACGTGGGGAATGCCCGTCT